GCATCCTATTGTCAAGATACAGTAAACAGTTTCATTGGGAGTCCATCTTTAGCCTGGAAGTAGAGATACATACTGCATTGTATCCTCGCATCTGGATATACTAGTCTCCATTACACAGTTACTATACATCCCCTTAAATGAAAAGCCACAGTACAGAATTAACAACAGGAAGAATCTCATCTTTCTTATTGGGTATGTTGGAGAAGCTTTAAAAAGAAAGTGTTGTTTGTCAAGGACGTGCTATTGTTAGCAAACTCTAGTTTTGTTCAAGGAAAACATTTCCGGTTTGTTCTCATTTCCTTCAGTTTCATTATATGGACGGGAAGATTCCGTATGAAAGTTACCTTTCTCTGTGTTAGCCGTCACATTCATATCCCATGTATTTGGAAAATCTTTGAACCAGAATAGGGTTTACTCTTGGAATAACTTTGGTTAATCAGCTGTTTCTTCTTGTGGCTTTTGGAGACTTAGCAGATTGTTTCCTCAACGAGTGCTTCCTGTTCAAAATGTTAATGTCTCCAGGTGTATCTGAAGATCTAAGTAAGCCAGAGGTTAGAGTTCTAAATATCCCACTTCAGTGGTTTTAGACAAATACGTGATAATCAGTTCATTAAAACACCAAGAGTCTATCCATACACAAAGCCAGTAATACAGTGTCTTGAATCGCTGATAGCTGTGTTCAATGGAGGAGGAGATGGAAAGTCGTCTGAAGAGACAACTCAGGGCCTGGGGTCTGCCTGGGAGCAGAGAGAAGCTAGAAAGAGAACTGGCTCCCAGGGCTGGCAGAGGAGTGAGCGAATTAGTTGGGCAGCCAGCTATTTGCAATGCCAGTATCCTGAGTCCGGGCACAGTTCAATTCCAGTTGCTACATCTTTAGTCCATCTCCCTGTTAATGAACCTAGGAAAGCAGAGGAAGCTGGTCCAAGTGCCCAGCCCCCTACCACCTGTGTATGAGACCTTCATGGAGTTCCTGAATTTTGGCTCTAGTAAGTGTTAAGGCCATTTGAGTACTAAACCAGTAATGCGAGTTCTCTTTCTCTCTCCCCCTCTGCCTCTCAGCCTTTCAAATTATTAACAGAGCACTTAAAGGAAAACCCTAATTCCGATAGAGCTTTCCTACCCCAGACTGGGGCTTTCAGATATCCTTTTGCAGTATCTAGCTTATGAAACATATCCACCTCAGATCATTTATTTTGAAAATTTTCTTAGGAAATAAAAAAAGCAAAATTAGCCCAAATTGTTTTGGAGATATTTTATTCAGCTCCTGGGAATGAGAGCAGGTACCGGGAAGCCCTGCTACATCATATAGCAGAAGAAATTATGTTATTTTTGAAAAAAACATCACTTTCTCTCATTCACAATAGAAATGTGTCCCCCGTGTAGATGGAAGTCAGGCTATCACTTTCGGATAATTTGTCTGAACTCATATTGAATAGAATTTGTTTCACCCTGATCTATCTAGGTCCTTATGGGTTCTGGGCAAAAACTCATTACAGAGCAAACTCTTTCATTCATTGTTTAAATCTTTCTCTTCTCTTTGCAATTCTCAAAGTTTAGTACTGAGGGTTGTTATTGACTTTGAGAAGGAAAAATAACTGATTTCTTCTCAATAGCTCTTTAAAACTATAGTGTCATGACTCAACATAAGTTTCTTAAATTCCTCCTCCATACTATATCCACCTTCATTTTGCTTTATTCTATTATTGCTATCAATGTGAGTATTCTCATCACATCCTGGTTCCAATGTTGGTCCCTGGGTGAAGGATGATATAGGCCTGTATCTCTGCCACACTTGGCATTAGCAAACATATCACTATTTAGAGTCGTGATAATCTCATATGGATTACTATAATGTTTACTGGGAAACAGTTTTTTTTTGCAGATTTATTTCTTTTTATTGCAAAGGCAGATTTACAGAGAGAAGGAGAGACAGAGAGAAACATCTTCTGGCTGCTGGTTCACTCCTCAAGTGGCCGCAATTGAGCCCATTTGAAGTTAGGAGCTTCTTTCAGGTCTCCCACGCAGGTGCAGGAACACAAGGCTTTAGACAGTACTCCTCTCCTTTCCCAATCCATAAGCAGGGAGCTGGAATTGGCATAGCTGGAGCACAAACTGGTGCCCATAAGGGATCCCAGCATTTGTGAGGGGAGGATTAGCCAATTGAGCCACTGAGCTGAGCGCTATAAAACTTTTTGCTGTCCCATGCAGTTGACCCCACAGCCCATACTGTTGAAGGTTGGAGTGGTCCAGATGAAATCACAACCCTTCCAACTTTGTGTCTTAGCCATTTGATTAAATACAGAAGAAATATAGAAATACCCTTCAATATCCATTTCACCTTAACCCGGAAAAGAAATTTAAATAGCTAAAAGTTTTATGCGATTGTCTTTTCTAAGTAACAGTGGGGAACTTGAGCTACTCAGAATCTAAGCCACCATCTGCCAGGTGCTGCTAGTGAATATTGTGGAATAGGTGTGTGACTACATAAGTTGCAGGTAGCCGGTCTTTGTCCAGGGCAAAGGGAATATGTTGTAGTAGATGGCAGTTGTGTTAAGTGACAAGAAATGCTGATTTGTTTCACTATTAACTGTTAGTTTAGCTTCTACCACCAACTTTTTAACCAAAAATAAGAACCAGAGATAAATATCTTTTTTTTGGTTTTATAATTTTTGCCTTTCATTTCCTTAGCTTATGTTCTGATAGAGGAATACTCTTTATCTATAGATGTAGACAGATTATATACGTGTTGTCTATATAAAAATATATATTATGTATTTGCATAATTAAAGTCTAGGCAGCTGGGGAGTTAGTGAACAAAAGTCTTACAGCACTTATACCCTGACTGCTTCCTGCAGTAATTGGTAAGCCACTTGAATTTTTGGCTAACGACATGTATAAATGCACTCCAGAGCACATAGTGAAATTTGACTATTTCTATTTATTGCTGTCCCCTTTGAGAAGTTGTAGTCCCCACTCAGGCTGGTTCTTCCTGGAACTTCCTTCCCCACCACCACAGGTTGCCAACAGCAGGAGCAAGGTGCCCACCTGGTCACCTCTTTCTCGAGAGTGCTTTGTCTACTGCAGGTTGGGACGTCAACTGACAGCAACGAACTTCTGCACTTCCCATTCACTGAGAGGCATCAGAGAAGAAAAGGGCTTAGTGGAATATAATCTCAACGCTGGAAAAATCTCTTTGCTCGGTGCAGACTTGTTAAGTGCAGGTCTGGAGTCTGCTACCCTCTCCAAGCATACAGAGTGTTAGCAATGACCGATGGCAGTGAAGATCGTCACATGAAGCAAGCACGTGGCATGGAGGGCAGGCTGTGAAGTTGGGTTTCCCTCCTTCCTGTCTACTTTAACTATGGTCTAATAGGGTGGCCGAATGACAACTCTGCAGACTTCTCTGCCAAGTCTCCAGCTTCAGTCCCAGCTGTTCCTGGGTTAATTCAGTGGCCTCCAACCCTGACCTTGTGGTTCAAGTCCCTGTCTTCCATTGCTTTCCCTTCTCTTAAGGTGCCTCCAGCCTTGGAGTGGCAGCAGCTTCATGCTCTTCCTGTCTCTGGGCTGTGTTACTGCCCCAAGGACCTTCCACCACCAGGAACCCACTTCTGGTGGTTGAACTTGCTTAGTTGCAATAAATAGGTTTTTCCAGGAGCCAGGTCAGGGACTGCAGCACCGCTATGTGTGTTGTGATCTTTTTTTTTTTTTTTTTTGCAGTTAACTTTAGATATGGGGCATGGTGACTCAGTTCATTCTTTGACATCTAGCTTTTCTGTGCGCTATGCTGTGAAACCAAGGAAACCCTGGCAGGATATGTAGGGGCCCGATTTTAGGCTTTTCTGGGTCACCAGGGAAGTTGAGGGTCACCCTGGTCGGGGTCTCCCTTTCATGTGAGATGACCATGTTTCCTTGGGACCCCTCGTGCTTCCTGCCTCTGAATCCTTCAGAGGCAACACAATTGTAGATTGTATTGCAGCCTCGCTGAGGACCGGTGGTTGTTTCCTTCAGTAAAGCGGCCCTGCTCCAGCTGTCTGTGCTTCTGATGTGTGCTACTGGTCCCTGAGGGGTCAGATCACAGAATGTGGCTGAGCTGGGGCAGCCCTACCTCCAACTTGAGCAGAATCACAGATGGGTCCTTTGTGGCTTTGAACTAGGCAATTGATCTTTGACTAGGTCCAACATACTTGGAGGAAGGTCAGAGCTAAGAGAAAATTCAGGAAATGCTCTAATATTCTTCTCAAAGGGTCTAACAGTGTTTAAGCAGCAGGGTTTCCTGTGTTCGACCTAAATAGACAAGGCTCCATAAAGTCCATGGAAAATGCGTATCATGAGAAAATATGACTTTCAAAAATACTTGCATCAAATAAGCTTGTAAGCGCAACTGTTTGGTTGCCACTTAACACTTAACTCTGTATCTGAGTGCCTGGCGCTTGTGCCTGTTTTTATACTTCTGATCCAGCTTCCTGTTAATGCAGTCCTGGGAGGCAACAAGTGATGATGGTTCCAAGTGCTTGGGTCCCTACCACCCACATGGGACACACAGTGGAGTTCTAGGTTATGGCTACAGTCTGACTAAACCCTGGTTATCAACGGCATTTGGGAAATGAACCACTGGATAGATAGTATCTCTCCCTCGCTCTTGCTCCCTCTCTCTCTTTTCTTTCTTCCAACCTCCTTCCCCATCTCCCTCCTTCCTTCTCTGCAAATAATTGAAACTGCTTCAACATTTCAATATAAACTTTTAATTCAATTTTCCATGAACGTTTTGGCAATTTGCTTTTAGAAAATCAGTCTGACATAACATGTATGTTCCTTCTCTGTTTTAAGCATAAATGCTCTATGGTCTTTAAATTAAATGTCATATGAAATAGCAGCCCCTAATCCAGTACTGTGTGTGTGAGCGTGTGTATGTGAGTGTGTTTGTGTGTGTATGGAAACAGATGATTTGGGTGTCCTAATTAACTTTCATTTACTAAACCTACTCCCCACCCCCGCCCCAGCCCTTTCTTTTCAGAAGACTCATTTAGACAATCACCATTCACCTCCAATTCAAAAGATCTGCTGCCCAGTGAGTCTCTGCTTCACGGAAGAATATCAACTCCAGGTAGGGAAATCTGTTCCCTTCGCTTCTACTGTTGGTTGCTGAGGAATTGCTTTTCTCAAATGTGTGAATTTTCAGATGCTTGCAGCTTATGTGTCATGCTTATTCATGGGAGGCTTAGGAGCTAGAAAAGGAAGAGGAACTCAATTGTATCAGCCAGGAAAGTTTATTAAAATAAAATGTGGATGGTGATAACCTCTTCATCCTTACTTTAAGTGCTTATTACTCCTTACGTGTGATTTTGTCTGTGTAGTGAATTTCCTTTTCTTCAAAACAAATCAAGTTCAATCCCAAAATAATTTGCTTTACATGTTGTCGCAGTCTCAATCAGGCAGTCAGGAAGATGTGGGAGGATGGTGGCAAGAAGACCAGTTCCCAGTAGGACAGGACAGGCCCACAGCAGGCAGAGTGTCCACAGAAGTCACTTCCATCTCCAGGGATACAGCACAGCTCATTGAAAACATGACGTCACCCAAATTCCATCTCTCTTCTTAACTGTAGTATCCACATATATCTATCCAATAATTTTGCCACCTCAGTCATCGATACCTAATTTGTTACCCAATTACTCAAGTCAGAGAAAAGATGTGCTGTAGTCCTCTGGTCAGCGGCCTGGCCACCCCTCAAGGCTTTCATGTGTGTTCTCAGATCTACCACGAAATGAAAATATTCCAGAACTGCTGCGCCGTAGTCCCAGACCCACCAGCAACCCTGCCCCACCATCCTGTTCTGCCCTGACAGACATGACCATTGTTCCCAGCCATGGAGATGAAGGTGGGGGCCCCATTCATGTTCATTTGTTCAAGAGAGCAGCATGGGAACTAATACACTGTGTATATGCAGTTAAGGGGCTTACAGTAGGATGTTTGGCCTTGTAACCCCTTCAAGAACAAAATGCAAATGTCCTGCACATACCCATGAAGCCCCATGTCACAGAGCACTGGAAATCTGATTAGTTGGTTCAAACAGAGCCAAGTAATATCTGAAACATTGCCATGTGGCCTTATGTTGGAATTGTTTGTGACTTACAATGGGAGAAAGGCAAGTCTGTATTCCCTAGTCTAGGAATGGCAAATCATCCTTTCTTAGCAGCACACGTGCAGCCAGAGTGCAGATGCCTGCGTGATCTTTAGCTTTGCCACCATGGCTTTTCTGTGCAACCACCAGAAATAACCTGCCCACACAAAACATGTTGCATAATAGCTAACTCCCAAGGTGGAAAGGAATTCTGCTTAGTTTATGTCTTCCTCCTCCAACAGGGGCTTCGGAACTACCGCTTACTTCTTCACCATGTTTTTTTGTGTAGCCATCTCCCTGGTCCCAAAATTATTGCCCTGCTATTAAGTTGATGAATTGTGACTTTCTCATGTCAAAATAACTGTCTAGGAATTACCTGTCAGGGTGCTGTGACCCACATGGCCAGCCTTCCATGATGTATATACAAACTCTGCATTGCTGCCTTAATGCAAGGCTGCCTAGGGTGTAAGGAAAAAAGTGTTTCATCAGTCAAGTCAAAGACGAACTGAATAGGGGATGGCAGAAGAGGTGGGACTGATCACAGGGAGGCTTTCTGTCATTCATTTGATAGACTTAGCATTACACATTAGCTAAGATCACACTTAAAACTTGACTCTCAGACTCTCATTTTAGGGGTAGGTCAGCGTAACCAGGATTTTTCAAAAGTAAATCCAGTCTGCTAACAGATCATCCATTGATTTTACTTCAAAGCCTTTCCTTAGGCAAAGATCATTGTGTATTCCTAGTGTATACATATAAACAGCTAGAAAGTGTGCTTTTACTTCTGAATAAGCAAGGTGAAAATGTTTTGGAGATAGAGATAAAAACTGGAAAATCTTAGAATGATGAACGTGGCCTTGTGATGGAGTCCTGGTATTCTGAAGATAATTTAGTAAGGAAAGGCTTAGCAATTTGACTAACTGGAGAAGAACCAATCTGAACCAACCAAACTTGCCACAATAGAGATTAAATTTTAAAGAAAATTTATTTCTTTCCAGTCTGGCCTTAGCTATTATACAGCTGATACAGGTCTCTAGTTTTTTTTTTTTTTTACTATACATTCTGAAATTTGGCAAAAGAAAAGAAACTCTACAGGTTACAACTTCTGTGTAAAGAAATAAGTGGCAAAACATAAAGCTGGGCTAGATATAGCCTTCTCATAGTACAACAAGGATAAAATCCATGCATTCTATTGAAGAAACATCAGTGTACTTGATTATGAAGTGCTGCTCCAGACCTACGGGGAAGTTAGGTAAAATTTTGTGCACCATAATTTCATCTGGAAATCAGAAAAGGTGTGAATGCCAAGACATACCTCATCCTGAGGGTTTCAGACACATATTGTGGTCCTACATCTGTTCTAGTGTTCTGCTACATGCTAGGGACAAAGACATTAAAGTTACAATTGAGGGTCTTAAAGTTGGAAGACCAACTTGCTTTGTCATTGCAGAGGCTGGGGCCAGGAACAGGAATCCAGAGGCATTCTTCTGGTCCTGGGGCAGCCTTGTATATCAGTGAGAGCTTGAGAAAAAGGAGACGGATGGAAGGGGAAAAAAAGAGGGCAGCAGATGGGCCAGAGACACAGACAGAGAGCAAGTTTGGTTTGGGAGACCAAAGCCTGGTAGGGAGTAATCACAGCTGTGCATTAAGGAGGAATCCAGTAAGGAGACTGTCACGACTGAGAAAATTATTTGTTTCTACTACATAAATGAAACGCTCAGATTCTTCAGAAATCTCCTTTTAGGTAACTAAAACATTACAAAGAAAATATTGTTTCTGTTCTTTTGTTCACTTAAGAAACCTTTTCTTTCCATACACAATGCAATGGTAAATGTCAGCATAGAGAATTTCAGATTCCCAGTTACAGAGACCATCATGGAGGAGGTTTCATGTTCCAACTTCCAAACTAAGAAATCCCTTGACAGTGGGGAAAACACATAGCATTGTTTTAACAGCAGACCTGTTCCATCTGCTTTCAGGGGAGTGAACTTCCCTCCTAAATGCCCTAGGAGTAAGATGAGACTAATTCTAAAAAGTCAACAGCCCTGAGCTCGGGGATTTGTGATACATTTAGTAAGTCGTGGTTGTGATCATGTTTTAAGCCTGGTGGAAAATGAAGAGCCAGGCGAGGGGGAATAGCGGAGCAGGGAAAGGATGGCAGGACTGGGAACTGTGAAGAAAATCGAGAATAGCACAGCGAACTAAGCATTTGCCTTCGGCAGATGGTATCTGAAACTCACAGCTGTTCCCACCCAGAGAAACAGAACAAACACAGAGTGCGCAATGGCCTGGCCTCAGCCATTGCCAATATTTCTCGGCAGACTTTCCTGAGAACTGGAGAACCTCAGGAGCTCAGCCCTAACTGAGAACGCCCTCTGCAGAGGTAGCAACAGAGTCCCCAGTAAAACAACCAGGTAAAGGACTGCTGTCACCTGCTGGATGTACGTGGGACAAATGTGGCCCAAATCGTGACTGCTGGTGTTGCTGTTTATGATTTTACAGAAGGAATGAAAGAACCTTTATAAGAGAGAGGTGATAAAAGTCACACACACACCATGGGTATTTTAATGGATGTAGTTTCACTTACAGCCATCTTGGTGCAAAATTTACACTCATTGCCGAGTCCAAATCAGGTCGTTTTTCAGGGCATATGAGGATGACTCTGTATTTCAACTCATCATGCCATTGTAGCTGCAGCTGTTTCTGTTTTCCCATCAGCATTCTGTACGTAAAGGCTAATAAGAATACTGTGCAAGAGCACATCTCTGTGCTGCTTCTCAACAATCCTGTGTTGTTGTGAATCTGAAGTCACAGTGTGTTTGCTCTCTGTTAAGCCAGAGAGAAACCCTAGTGGGTGTGAACAACATCGTGAGCTTCTGTGGAATTCTTTCCCAGTGTTTGCAGTCTCCCATACTTCTGTTGATTATTTCAGATGGAACTTGGAGTTAGATGAACTGAAGCACATCATCAGTTATAGTTGTGCATCCTTACCATGGCATTTTCTATCTTGACGGAAGAAAACTCTTCTGTTATTATTATTTGTAAATGTACAGACAAACACAGAAGAACATTAGCACCCCTTGCAAAAACAGCCTTTTTTGACTGGATAGGCTGGGGGGAAGCTGTAGTTTCTTTCAGGATTTGGAATGCCCGTCAGGACTGGGTGTTAAGTCAAGGCTTGTTTGAATGAGTCTGCCTTGTCCCCAGGCTGGTTTATCATCTCTTATTGCTGTTCTTCTCTGTTCATCACTCTGATACCAGTGGTGCCATGCCCTATTTTCAGAAATTTCAACAAATGATGCCTTGCATTAGCAAGTTACCAGCAGCCCGGTCAGCTTGCTATGGTACTAGCCAGATACCAATGACCTCTGTTAGACAGCTGTTTTAAAAGGCATATCTTAACATGTGCGTGTTACCATTCTTTATGTTAAGGTGAAGAGAGAGACACTTTGAGTTAGAACACACAGGACATTCTTTCCAAATCAAACTGAAGTTACTGATAAACAATCAAACATCGACTATAGGTGTGTAGGATTTCTTGTAACTTGAGGTCCATGTTGATGAAACAAATTCCTTCTGCATAGACAAGGCAGCTGACAGTGCTCAAGAATTCACTTGATTGTCAGACACGCAACATACGTCACATTGTTGAATTCTGAAAACAACTTATTGAGACACAGGAATGAGTCACAATTTACGGATGACTAGAGGGAGGCTTAGATTTGACAACTTATTCCAGTTCATGGGGTGGTGAGTAGCGACAGGGAGTTTTGGCGCAGGCTGCACAGCACGGCCTTGTCTCTCCTCCAGCCCTCTCCTGCTGTCTTCCAGCAGGTGGGGAGCAGACAGAACACTCTTCCCCAGGAATTGTCCGTACTCCCATAAAGTTTACATCTTAAGTTGTTACTGATGAGCTGCTTCCTTTGAGTTAGAGATAAGAAGTGTTCCTTTAGGTAAGATCATCCCAGGCATTTACAAGTATTTAC